CCCCAAAACCCCAAAACCCCAAAACCCCAAAACCCCAAAACCCCAAAACCCCTTGCTCTGTATAATAATTGATAAAATAATTATCTAATGAATTCTTCCACTGATACTAAAATTTTCTCAGTTCTTTCTAAAGCAAGAGAAGAACTTGAATCTCTGAAAGCCAATTTAAAGAAAATTTCTAAATAGAAGTAAGCAATGTATATGCCTTTCTGAGCGTTTAGATAAGAAATTCTGGAAGTGGAATACTGACATGGAAAAATAAAATAGCAGAATTAGTTGCAGAGTATTATGAGAGTAAGCTTTTTGCTTATAGATAGTAAATACACTGGAAGATCTGTTTGATCCAAGAATTGAAGCGCTTTCCCAAGATATCATGTAAGCTATCAGATAATTTTTAGCATCCCTCCATATCAAATTTGTGACTCTCTTTCGTGCACGATGGCAAGTATTTCATCTGTTACTATGCAATTCCAAGGAGAGTAAAATTTTGCTTAATTATAGATTCAAAGATAAGATCTACATGTTCTCATTGAACAAAAGTAGGATCCTTGGTTTGACATTTATAGAACCGGAAAAAGATATTTTCTTCTTTTTTGGATCATTGGAATCAAGCGAACAGATTCTTCTGTTCAGAGAGAAGGATATGTAATTGATGTTTAATGCCATAGGATTAAAGACAAAGTTCCTGAAAATGACACTCCTTTAGTCAAAGCTTTTTCATGTTTGAGTGGCACTGAAACAATCAAGGAAAGACTCTCTTCAATTGCCAGTGAGATTATAATCCTCAGAGTAGATGTTGATCTTGAGAAAATTAAAGGTATACATTTCCCAATTTTCAGTTTGATCTTCTTACATTCTTCTAGATACTGAGACATTTAATGCACCGGTGACAAGAGTAAAGGTGATCGAAGGAATAAACTACGGACTTGAATACTCCATGATCTCAAATGAGTAATCTTTGCACAAAAAGTTGCAATAAATCTTTTCAATTATCAGTGAAATAGCAGGGGTTTTGGGGTTTTGGGGTTTTGGGGTTTTGGGG